GTATTGGGGTTGTGCGTTTGATATGAATATACAAAGCCATTGCCGAGTAGGCATCGCGAATCAGTCTAATTACTAAGCTTCTTCACATTTTTTGCCGCAAATGTCTTCACTTGCCCGTCTACCTCAATTCTGACGGTTCTATTGTTACTACACATACTGACCACCTCTCCCATTATGCTGCACGCCTGTTCTAACTTTCATTTTCTTGTTTTCTGGTTGTTATCGTGATCTATAGTAATTGCAACTTTATCACCTGGGTTAAAGCCGGTTTTCTTCGATGAACGCTTGCGCGAACAAGCATTTTGTTTCGATATTTTTCATCATTCCACGTGATTTCTCCTCGTACTTGCAGCACCTGCTTCAAATGGTTCTCAATGTAGTTTGCTGATTTGTATGATCAGTGGTGTCATCATAAGCGTCTTGAATATAACTTCCCTCCACTTGATTAGATTCGACGAGTATTTCAGATGGCGTACCATAAACGCCTCGCATCTTAAAACCAAAAAATGCCTCATACGGTGATTTTTTGTGTGTTTCATGAGGTGCTTTATTATACGTGATTACAAACGCGGGCAGAATATCGATCCAACGATATGCTTGGGTTTGGGAAACCTCACCCCACAGCATTTTAGTTAGATGTCGACCGAGTGTTTGATTAAACCTTTCAACCTTTCCTTAGGTTTGTGGGGATTCCAAGTTCTTTTTGCCCGAAAGGGGAGGAGACCGGAAAGGGATGTAACCAGTACCGTCCGATGGCAGACACGAGAATATTATTAAAGTGAGGATGTAACTGACTTTCGATTACATAGTCTTGGTTCTCGATCAGATGGGCTGGAGTATATTATGTTCCTTCTGCCAGTCTCTATCCTCCGTTTCTTCGTTAGAATCATAGTCATTAGAGAGAAAATGTTTGTATAAGTCGAATATTTCTATCATGTAGACTTGATATCAAGCGATAATCCAAATCCCGCTGCATTTTATGTTCCCCTTCTTCACAACGTCTTTGCATATGGATTGATTCTTGGGGGAAGTGTGCGGGTAACCAATTATAGTGCTGTCAGCGGGCTGGCTAACTTGTCTTCATAACCGTCACTGAATTCCCTTGCTTTTTGTCAAGCTCCCTCTAATTCTACCTCTAAACTTGACAAGCTGAAAGCTGATAACGGTGGTAACTGATGAGAATCGTAGAAAAGAGAATTAGTTCAGGACTAATAACAAAGGCCAATTCATAGAAACTCAACGAAGAAATACCTCGATGTATGACGTGACGGCTGTTCTAATATCAAAGTAAGAGAATGTCCCGACGTCTGAATTGAGGAATGTGGGTTGTCCCGAAAAGCTCGAAATGACATTGGTAATTAAGAGAATATCGAGAGTGATGGTATAGGTGATGTGGGCGTGGAAGAAAAAGTGGGAGAGTAGGGAGATGGAGAGCTAAATCTGTTGTCTTCGTAATTGCCGTGCGGCACGAACTACGCCAAGTCACCATGCCAAACTCTGGCAACTTTCTATATCCCGTTCCGAAGGGGGGAGGTGGTTAAAGACTGATTTTCATGTCTTCTGATTAAGTATAACTCGTCCATAAACTCTCTAACACCCACTTAGAGAATGTTTTTGTATGACAGTGGTTTATACGTAAAAGTAGCCAGCAGATGGATGGATAAAGAAATTCTCACTCCTTTATTATAATTAGTCAAGATTTTCCTACTAATACTAATGTTATTATTATTACTGTAACACCTATCCCAATCAGTCTAATTACTAAGTTTCTTAACATTTTTTGCTGCAAACGTCTTCACTTGTCCATCTACCTCAATTCTGACAGTTCTATTATTACTACACATGCCAATCACCTCTCCTGTTATACTACATGCCTGCTCTAACTTTCGTTTTCTTGTCTTTTGATTATTGTCGTGATCTGGAGCGATCGCGACTTTATCGCCTGGGTTAAATGCTGGTTTTCTCCGATGAACGCTTGCGCAAACAAGCATTTTGTTTCGATAGTTTTCGTCATTCCGCACAATTTCTCGACGTACTTGCAGCACCTGCTTCAAATGGTTCTCATATGTAGTTTGCTGATTTGTATGATCAGTGGTTATGGTGTCATCATAAGCGTCTTGAATATAACTTCCCTCCACTTGATTAGATTCGACGAGTATTTCAGATGGCGTACCA